TCTGTCACGAAGAGAGAGACCACACCACTTGAGCTAATTCATTCAGATTTAGCATACTTTAAGAACTTGGAAAGTAGAGGCGGGAAACGCTACTATATCACCTTCGTTGATGATTGTTCGAGATATAGCAAGGTGTATCTTTTAAGGACGAAGGATGAAGCTGAGTCCAAGTTTCTTGTGTATAAGGCAGAAGTAGAAAACCAGTTGGAGCGGAAGATAAAGAGAGTTCGCTCAGATAGGGGTGGAGAGTATGGCTCCGATTTCCTCAAGGACTTATGTGAAAGTGAGGGAATCATTCACGAAGTATCGACCCCATATACTCCGCGGCAAAATGGTGTGGCAGAAAGGAAAAATAGGACCTTGAAGGAAATGATGAATGCAATGCTCCTAAGTTCCGGGTTGCTAGACAATTTGTGGGATGAAGCGGTTCTATCAGCTAATTATGTACAGAACAGAGTAACTCACAAGAAGTTAGACAAGACTCCATATGAAATATGGAAGGGTTATGCCCCAAACTTGAATCACATGAAAGTGTGGGGGTGTCTAGCTAAGGTGGGCTATCCATCGTTTAAGCGCTCAACTATAGTAACTAGGACCTATGATACAGTATTCATTGGTTATGCTGAGAATAGTGTCGCATACAGGTTTATGAGTCTGGAAGATCACTCTATATCTGAATCTCGTGATGCAGAGTTCTTTGAACAGGTATTTCCTTTGAAGAAAAACTTAGTTACTAACGATGTTTCTTCAGTTTCTTCATCTGCAGAGCCAGAAGATGCTTCCCCCTAGGATTGAAAGTGAGATTCAACCTAGGAGAAGTAAAAGGCAAAGAGTGGAGACAAGCTTTGGACCTGATTTCCTAACAGCCTTTATAGCAGAGTGCGGAAATCTAGGTGAATTCGAAGATGTTCTAGATGAGATCATGATGTGTCTACAGGTTGTGGATGAAGATCCGAAATCGTTTGAAGAAGCTATGAGTTCAGTAGATGCAACCTTCTGGAAGGAAGCTGTAAATAGTGAGCTTGACTCAATCATGTCAAATGGAACCTGGGAGCTTGTGGACCTGCCAAAAGGGAGCAGAGCTATTGGGTGCAAGTGGATTTTCAAGAGAAAAATGAGAACCGACGGCACCGTGGAAAGGTTCAAAGCTAGATTGGTGATAAGAGGATTCACTCAAAAAGTGGGCCTTGATTATTTTTATACTTATTCTCCTGTGACTAAAATTGTCACTATTCATGTTTTGTTTGCCTTAGCTTTATCTTACAACTTGATTATGCATCAGATGGATGTTAAGACAGCTTTTCTGAATGGCGATTTGGAGGAGCAGATCTACATGGAACAACCTCCGGGTTTTGTAGTTCCTGGGATGGAGAATAAGGTGTGCAGACTAAAGAAATCCTTGTATGGCTTGAAACAAGCTCCGAAGCAATGGTATGAAAAATTTCATAAAACTATTCTTAGTTTTGGTTTTGTTGTCAATGGTAGTGATCGATGCATGTGTGTACTCTAATATGTTTGGTGCGCAATGTGTGATATTATGCATGTACGTTGACGACATGCTCCTGTTTGGCACAAACATGTATGTCATAAATGAAACTAAGAAGTATTTAAATTCGAAGTTCGAAATGAAGGATTTGGGAGAGGTAGATGTGATCCTTGGTGTTAAAGTTACTAAAACCAAAAAAGGGTATTTTCTGTCTCAGTCTCATTATGTGGAGAAAATTCTGAAGAACTTTAATTGTTTTGATTTGCCTCCATTGAGAACTCCCTTTTATCCTTCTGGAACTTTGGTGAAAAATGTGGGTGACGGTGTGTCTCAAACTGAATATGCTAAGGTGCTTGGTAGTCTGATGTTTTTGATGAACTGCACTCGCCCTGATATTGCTTTTGCTGTTAGTAGACTTAGTCGCTATACTCATTGTCCTAGTGAGCAACATTGGGTTGCTTTTAGGCTTGTGCTCAGATATCTATGTGGAACCGTGTCTTGGGGATTGAATTTTGTTGGTCATCCTTTGGTTCTTGAAGGGTATGGTGATGCAAATTGGGTAACGGATAGTGATGAAACAAGCTCTACAAGTGGCTATGTGTTTACCCTTAGTGGGGGTGCAGTTTCATGGAAGTCTGGTAAGCAGACGTGTATAGCTAGATCAACAATGGAAGCTGAGTTCATCGCATTGGATCTTTCTACACAAGAGGCATATTGGTTGAGAAATTTGCTTATTGATATTCCTTTGTGGGGGAAGCCGTCACCACCTGTGTCTATGCATTGTGATTCACAAGCTGCTATATGTGTTGCTAAAAACAGCGTTTACAATGGTAAGAAAAGGCACATAAGAGTCAGACACGAGTCTGTGAGGCAGTTTATTGTGAATGGGGTTATTTCGTTGGACTATGTTCGAACAGAGAAAAACCTGGCAGACCCTTTTACTAAGGGATTAAGTCGTAGACTAGTGGTGGAGTCATCAACTGGTATGGGTTTAGGACCTATGTTGTAATGACTTGAAATGATAGCTATACTAGCTATGTGACATGATACATTGGTTTTAATAAATTTGGAACCTGTTTTGGTTTATTTGTTTCATTGGCGTGAGTCATGTGGATTTATTATATATGTATCATGTGTTTGAATCTATTACTCTAAAAGAGTGGTAATTTAAGTTTTACCAGTTAGATTCTGCTAGGATGAGTTTGTCTCTTAATGTCATTAGTCCAGTTGTTTTCTGAGCAGGGATAGATGGAGGTTCTTAAGAGAGTTAAGACCTTTGTCCCAGTAGTTCTTAAAACGGTATAGATAATGACACCGAAAGTTGAAGGGTTGAACTTATGTTCTTAATGTTCTAGTTCCATTGCATGTAATTCTCTGGTTTGCAAGGTGCTTAAACATGTTTAAGCCTGCAGGGAAAGACCTTTGAATTTGCTGGGAACGTGTGTGAATAACACATAGGATGAACACCTACGTGAGTACGAGAGGTGACCTCTCTCAAGGGAAGACTGGAGTATTGTTTACCTGAAGTACTCATGAGAGCTCAAGTGTTGGCCAAGATTGGCTGAGTTGCTTAAGCTCTAAAGTCAAGGTATGTGTATTCAAGGTCCCTTCCTCGCTCCTAGGAGTTCAAATCTTAGGATACTCACTAGGGAAGTGTTGAAAACCTTGTGCACTAATGTGTTAGTTCAAACCTTTGGATACTAGCATTTAAGTACTAAGACTTTCATTTACTGTTCAGATTTCATGTTGAAGATCCGCTCGCATTAGTGGGGGATTGTTGGAAATAGGTAATGCAAACGGATGCTCGCGCCCGATCGGGCGGCCCTCGCCCGATCGGGAGGAGGTGGTCCCGACCGGGCGACGGACTCGAGTTTTTGACGAGAACTCTCGCGCCCGATCGGGCAGCCTTCGCCTTTCCGGGCGGCGGACTCGAGTTTTTGACGAGCCCGATCGGGCGGCTTCGTCCGATGGCTCGCCCGGGATAGGGTTTCTAGATCGCCCGACCGGGCGGTGTTCGCCCGACCGGGCGGTGTTCGCCCGACCGGGCGCGACACTAGGTTTGGAGAAACTCGATCTCGCGCCCGATCGGGCGGCAGCTTGCCCGATCAGGCCCGCCTTTTTTCCTAGGTCGGTTTGTTTTGCGTGTTTCCTTTTCCGGTACTCATATAAATACGAGTCTTGCCTTTTCATGAGATTCATTCACTTTCTAGCCAAAAACACAAACCTACCTTTTGAGATCTGGACAATTCTTGAGCTATTCCACTCTTCGAGTTCGGGTGCACGGATCACGGAGAGAGTTGCGTTAAACTTGGGGGGCGTGCGTCACTAGGAAACTTGTACCGGTGGTATTTCGCTTCTAAGGCAGTGGATTTTGTTCCACGGCGCGACTGTGAGTTTGGGATCTTCAATCCAGGAAAGTTCTAATTTTTTGTTTGTTATTGATTTCAACAGTTATTTTACCAACAAGATTATGAGAAACTCTAATGATTGAAGTGTTTGCCATCGATTAATTTGAGGAAGCTGCCATTATTCAGCCTGATATACAATTTAAGGGGGCAAAAATGGGCATAATATGGGATAATCAGGGTAAAACCCCTAACACCGGTAGCAATTTTACCCCTAATACCGCTAACATAATTGTTTACCTGGCTAATTAACTTTAATACTTCGTATACAAGTATGTAATCAAGAAAAACAACAGTCTTAATTGTGTCCGTGAAAATGTTAGTTTGCTCTTGATTTCTAAGCAAGTTTTGCTTACACATCACATATGCACAATCATATATGTCCCCATGGTATTAGTTTAGCCAAGGAATCTGATAAGCAAGTGTTTTTTTTTAAGGTTAGTTCTACTATTGCACTAGAATGCTAGAATGAAGAGTTTTTAAATTGGCTAGCCATGCATAAAAATTTGGTTAAGCTAGTTTCTTCCATATTTTGTCCTACTACGGAAGCTCATCCTTGTTATAGCAACTTCCAAATAATTCACCCGCGGTAAATAATGAAACAGTAACTTTAAAGTTTCCCGCTGTAAATAAACAAGGATATTTTTCGGTATCAAAATTCTCAGATTGCAACCAGGAAAATTTCCTCTCCATCTGTTCTGTTTGACAAAAATATCCATATGCTCCAGCACCTATGTCTCTCAAATCAATTGGTTAACAGTCTATTGTATTTAGCTCAATGTGCTAAAAAAAATATTGGTTGGCCGTATTCAGATATGATTTAGTTGTGTGGTGCTTTAGTCATGGTTTTATTTTCTTCCAGAAATCATGTAATTAAATTCTTTCTTTCAACAACAGTATAACTTTTTAAGAAGTTGCAAAAATACTTGCAGCACTGCTTTATTTGCAGGTTTGTTAACATAGCTCCCTCTTTTTATCTATCTCTGGAATCTCCCTCCTCTCCTTAATACCTGTTCATCCCCTCACATTGTAATTTATCGAGAACGAGTACTTCGTACATGACTTTATATTAAATGGAGCATAGAATAAATGCATCAAAAACCAACCACTGAAAGTAGAATCTGAACAGGATTAATTTAACACTGAAAAAACAACAATCCCAACATCCTAATGACCAATTTTCATGGACTAATATACAGTTTCTACCAGAAGCTATTAGCTTAGGCCAAAATAAAAGATAGCTGCACATTTTTTCTAGACTTTCATGTCTAAGCAAACCTAACAGATTATTCTGCGACTACTTAGCAATGCATTTACTAGTCAATCCAAAATGCTATGGGCATGCATGCCCATTGATCACTGTACATAAAGACAACGCTGCTTTGCATTGCATACTCACTTGTCCTAAATATTACAGTCTAACCACTAGGTCAGTCAGTTGCAAAACAGCAAAATTAGAGTCAATTGATCATATATCAGCAACAGATGATGTCAAAAGCTAACAAGCTCAATCCTCAGCTTTTCAACAAGCTTTTATTGTAAAGTTAAGGTAGACCTAGATCCTGCACAACAAGAAAAACAAGAACCTAAATGAAAAAAGAGCATAACAAGACCATTAATTATGTATTTCAAGATAAACATCATTAGAATCACAACAAATGCAATAACAAAGTAAGTTATTATAGGAAGTTACAATACATGGGAAATTTTATTGCCTAGGAAATACTAAAATTGTGTTTGGTTGACATATAGGAAATCACATTTCCCATGAATTAGTTTCCTATGTGTGTGATCGAATTGATCGGGCCATGTAGGAACAAAGTTCATTTTGTTGGTTAACTTATGTAATACCCATGTATTATTTTAACTTGAACTACTTTCCCAAAATTTTGAGGACAATAATGTAATTTCACCCAGTATACATGTGGGAAATTTGAGTGACCAAGGTAGGGTGTGGGAAATTAATTCCCATGTTTTGTAGGAATTCCAAATTACTAAGGAATTTCCACTTCCTACATTTTTGCTAACCAAACAACTACTCATAAACTTATTTCCCATGAATTTGTATTTCCCCCACTATTGAAGTGCAACCAAACAAGGCCTAAGTATCTGACCACATCCACTAAAGCAGTCACTAAACACAAACAGAAAGGCAATATGAAAGACTCAAAATTTGCCTGCTGTTCTCATGAATAAGTCCTGTGATGCAAATGTGCATAGCAAGGAATTGTTGTACTGATGACCACAATTAAATCTAGTGTCAATAGTATGCCATATTTATGTTTGTCCTAAATGCATCAATAACACTGCTCATGTTAATTGCAGAAGAAAACACAAAGGATAAGATTAACCCAGGATATTCCATCTTCAACAAGTTCATTATATAAGACTCGTATTTAAAACCAAAGACATGGCTCATGACCACTGTTTGAGAAGCTTTCAGGATTAGTTATTCAAGTCCAACAAATTGTTATTTTTGGTCCTTCAAGAGGTGGAAAACAGGTTATTTGGTTCAACTTCAGGAACAGATAATATACGGGTAATAAGGACACTTTTGGATCGGGAACGTGCCATTCAGGTGAGAATATTTTAGGTTCGGGAAAGGGAAGTGTCAGGTTAATTTCAGGTCTTTTAAAAATTGGACTGCGGGACACAAAGCAATGTTCACTATATATGATTTCAGTCAGGTCAATTTTGGACCAGGTCAGTTTCAGGTCATCCAATTAGAGGCACGATTTAGTTTCGAGTCATCCAGCTTTGGGTACCAGATCAGTTTTGGCAGATACAATTTTAAGTACCTTCCAAATAATTAAAAAAAAAAAAAAACATAAGTATATCTTTTCTTTAACAAAATTGTTAACATAAAGGTTTAGGATCAAATATTCTCTAGACGATTATATAATAAAGATTTTTCATAAGTTGTAGCAGTCCATCCATTCAACAACAGCTGACTGATTCCTCCAAAAAAAAAAGTACAAGTGGTTCAAAAGACTAATATAAAGTCCAGTTGAATAGATTGCTTCTTATAATAAGGCACTAAACAAATTGCATATTCAAGAACTGTACTTATTAAAGAAGATTCTCAAAGACAGAGAAATCAAATTGCATCATGAAAAAGATATGCACTTACTGCTGGATCGTTTCATGTTGCGACAAAAATTGCTGCCACAAAGACACCGGAATGCTTTGATATGATGTTCACCATCATCAAAATCAACACCATAATCCTGTGGACACATCACCAATGGGTGCTTATTAGACAAAGCCAAAAAGGTATCAATAATTATTACAAAACTTATTGATACTTGGAGAACAAAGGGAAACTAAGACCTAAAAATACTAAAATTTTCAACTTGATTGCGGATCCTTGAATCTTGGATAGCTGAAGCATACAGAAAAGAATGCATACATACAAAGCCTCTACAGGTTTCTGAATCACCAGAACTCGTGACAATCAGGCCTAATGAGAACATGACTGTCATGCTAATAACACTAGACAACACACCGATACAGAGCAATGTATTTCACATATTATTCATTAAACTGGGATACGCTTAATATTTTATAAATAGCACAAGTATGCAGCAACAATTAGAGGATGGGACATTTCACCCCTTCAGGTCTACAGACTACTATCTACAATCTGAACAGAGAGATGAATTACATAGGAGATGATGACGCATACTATAGGCATTCAAGCGCCACGTAATTCACTAGAAATAGAGACAGCATATAGCTTGTCGAACAGGTGACACTCTTTGAAATGATGAGTATAACTAAACGTATTGAGAATTTCAGAAATATATAAGAATTAGAAAGCAATCAACAAAAAGCATAACATGGTGACCAGCTAAGATTTATCTAGTCTAAAGTACCAATACCATGAACCACAAGTATACAATCACCTGATGATTTAACTTTGGTTCCCCTTAAAGAGATTCCTATGTTTAGAGGGAAAGTCATCAATGTTTCCACATTCTCACTAACCCACCCATTGGTTAAGGGTATAAGAAGGGAATAAGGCCTGCTTTCTCCTTTACCAACTAACAGTATAAGTATAAATAAGCTTTACTGGCATTCTGTATCTGGCATTACTAAGAATATATATTACAGATTCACAGTAATTCATCCAATAAAAAGGTCAATCCAAAATTAAACCTTAAAATGGCTAATTGACACGTCAAAAAGAAACGGTTATTTTCATGCACCTGAAGATGTTAGTTATGATTTTTACAATCACTAAGAGCATGATTATACAAGTGAGCTTAACCTAGTCTCCAAGACCATCATTTCTATAAATCAATACAGACTCAAAATATCAAATATTTAGCTGATTTTGAAGACAAAACTTTCATTAATTTTTACATCATATCAATAGTCGTTGAATAACTAAAGGTGAAATTTTTCTCAGGTCAAAAGGTATATATGAAGACATCTTATAATAAAAAAATACAAAAAAAAAAAAGGTACATAAAAATTTCAGTCTTCTACGTAGTAGTTTGCAGATTAATGTGGTTCATTGTTTTATAAAGGTAAGCAACTTATATTAATTCCTTCGGTCCATCAATATTGCAACAAGAGAGGGGGGGGGGGGGGAGCAAAAGATGTTAGTGCTTTAAGGTAAAAAAAAAAAAAAGGAAAAGAGAGACAAAATTACAAACTTGTTCATTTGATTGCAAGCATTAACTAAAGTAACAAGTATTGAGAAATAAGGGTATTGGGTATTTGCGTGGGTATGTTGCAATATTTGTGAAACTTCATAATGAGGTAAACATTGCAATATAAAGTAACAGAGGATGTATCATTTAAAAAAGTTGAACAAATCATGTAAACACAGAAATAATAATACTTGAAACCACAGTATTCATCATGAAAACTGCCTTAACTTGCAAAAGTAACATAATGCATAAGAACATGGACTGTTGAGTTAGCGAGCACCAAGCAAAAACCACGGCCCCAGTAAGCTATTAAATCTTTGGTATGCATAATTTTTCCTTTTCAGAGTCAAAACACTACCTCTATCAGTATTAGTGTTTAACAGTATACAGTCTATACACCAAATAAGCTTGTAAGTTTAAGCTGAAATATCTATTGAGACAAGCAAAAAAAAAAAAATCTTTTGGGACAACAAGTATACAACTAATCCAAATGTTTGTGAATCATGTCATGTTCTCTAAGTCTAGGCAGGTTTCTTGAAACCATTTTATAATTACCCCTACTATCTTACTAGTTATTATAGTCCACTGAGAAGTTTTCATAAGATAGATTGATCTTCCTAAAAAAGACTACTGTCCAAATGAAGCCCAAACTATAATGTACATACCCATGTCAATTCTTCGAAAGCATTAACTGCTCTTGTTGTAAACAATGCAACCTGCACAAGAAAAAGAATGTTCCTTAAGTTGTTAGATAAACAAGCAGTTTCAGAAACTTTAGTACTCTTTGCTCCCTGTCGCAAAACAATTTTCTTGTAGCATAGATTGGACTTTACACTTTCCATACCTTCATGTTATTGGATCAAGTCATATTCTCTATGTCTAGACAAGAATATCGAAATCATTTTTTAGTATCTCCCTTTCCCATTTGCACTCCGTACTCTACTTTCTCTTACTACCTTTTCTCTTTCTATCTCATTGATCCTTTTCTCACAGTTCCAACACTATATATTAATGCCATTACTCTCCCTCTTTACTCTAAATTACTATTCACATATAACCATTTTTCTTAATCTCCATGCCAAAATCTAAGAGAACAATTATTTTGGGACAGACAGAATATTTATTAATCTTAGTTTCCATAACAGCAATACAAGGACCAGAATCTAAATGAATCTTCAAGTTTCATACATGATAGTAGTGGTGATTGGGAGTCTCCACTTCAACAGGGATTTCAATCAAGTTTGCATCCGAACACCTATAACAACATGGACATAACTCAGTCATTATTCCAGAATCATGAAAACTAAAGGAAAGACATGGAAATCAGAATATGAAAGGCTAAGAAGTGCAGAAAAGAGGACAAGGTTATAATTAAATGAAAAGGGGTAGAAAAAGAGAGAAGAAAGTTACATTGAAGAAAACAGAGGCTCGTGTATGAGCTCCCATGCTATTGCTTCTTTTTTCTTTTCTTTTTTTAATTACACTGTTCAGAGTGATTATTAAGTCACTAATTAATGCGCTCACAACATACACACGTCGTATTCCCATCTACTCCATATGACTAATATGAGTACTAACAGAATTATCTACAACCAACTACATGATCAATCTTCAAATGCTAGATTACACAAACAAATATAACAAAACTAGAGCAAATCAAATTCCTTTATGCCCCCGCTACCAGCTCAGACTCATAAAGTTTGCTTGATTTACATTATAATTCGTATTGATCAACCACCTTTCTCACAAGATGCCATCCACTTTAAATTAAAGTCATTTTTTCATTGATAAACAAAAGGAAAAATTGACATTTACTACCGGTGAAAGTACCTTGTGTTACATTTGCTACCCGTTTAATTTTTTATTTTATTTTGCTACCACCTAAAATCAAATAGTTAAAATTTCACTACCACTTAACAGAATCCGTTAAGGTTCCGTTAAGTTTATTCCAAAAAAAATAAAAAAAATTAAAATATTAACCCAGCCACCCCCCTCCCCTCAGCTGCCACCCCTTCCCCCTCCCCCCAGCCGGCGGCCGACGCTCAGATCTTCGGCCGGCGCCGGCGCGAATCCACCCCCTCCCTTCCCCCACCCTACGCAGCCCCCTTTCCCTCCACCCCTACGCAGCCCCGACCCCACCCCGAACCAAAACCACCCCCCTTTCCCCTTCCCCCCACCGAAATCCGCCCCCCAGCCTCGTTCCCCCACTGAAATCGACCCCCCTCCCCTTCCCCCTAACCTTTTCGGACTTCCCTAACACTAAACCACCACCCCAAAACCACCCAAAACGAATTTAGGGTTTCGCTTATGGTGGTTTTGGGGTGGTGGTTTAGGGTTAGGGAAGGCCGAAAAGGGTAGGGGGAAGGGGAGGGGGAGGGGGGTCGATTTCAGTGGGGGAACGGGGCTGGGGGACGGATTCCGGTGGGGGAGGAGGTGGTTCTGGTTCGTGGCTGCGTAGGGGGTGGGGGCTGCGTAGGGGCTGCATAGGGTGGAAATGAAGGGGGGTGGGTTCGCGTCGGCACCAGCAGGGGGAGGGGGTAGAAGTTGAGGGGAAGGGTGGCAGTGAGGTGGAGGGGTGGCAGTGAGGTGGAGGGGTGGCTGCAAGGTGGTTGAAACGGTGGCTAAACCCAACTAACGGAAATAGTAACGGTGTAAGCAGTTGGTAATGAAATAAATATTTTAGGGATTTGGGTGGTAGCAAAAAAAAAAAAATTAAACGGGTAGCAAATGTAACACAAGGTACTTTCGCCGGTAGCAAATGTCAATTTTTCCTAAACAAAAAGAAACTTTAGATAACTGCCTAGCCAATCATGCAAAAGAATAGATCATAATGCTCAATCAATGAGTTCTATTACCACATCTTCTTGTCCTATGTTAATGTTAACAAAATCAGAAATGGAAAAGAAAAGTGATACAGGAAATAGAGATATGTGAAAGGTGGGGGACACATTAATTCAACAAATCAAGAGACAGCTTTCAAAAAATTACCTATGGTTAATAAACCTTGCCACATTTCCATACACCGAGGCATCCAAACAGAGAATTTCTGATTCTTTTAAAGCTCTTGTACCCCATTCTGTATCAAGTAGCACTGCATATGAATGCTTGTCATTGCTTCTTCTCATATTCCTCTTATGGAGCTCTGTACTAGTTAAAATTTCTCCAACGTATTCACAAACAAAAGTCCCTTTTGGCAGATCTTCCAGTGTCCTCAAACCCCAACCTTTCCCTTCTGCAGTCCAGAACACCTAGACACAAGCTCTCAAAATTGATGAAGCAATTTAGAAAATATAACACCAAAACATCTTGCGAAATGAGAAACAACACTTTTAAATAATCCTCATCCCATAAAGCTGGCAAGACTTTCTGTTGATAGCTTTCCCAAAAAATATGGATAAAAGTTAAATAGGTGAAATAAATTCTGCATATGTAAGAAGCTAAATGTTATGCAAAGCAATAATTACAATTTTTTCCTGGTGTTTTCAAAGTGTCACTAACTTTACAGGACTAGTGAAAAATAAATGATCACAGAGGCATAAATTAGTTAAGCACACTGCATGCAGGCCAGAGACAAGACAATATCACTGTAAACTACCTATTATACTGCAAAACTCATATTTAAAGAGATTGTGCACGATATCAAGTAAATAGTTCAACTTCACCTGCAAGTTATGGCTTATGCCATGTTGTATAACTTTATTTCCACAGTGCTTGTTGCAGCCACACTTAGCCCAGCATTCTTTAATGAACGTCCGTCTCAAGTGGCCTTTGCATGGATCAAGCATATCCTCATTCTTCAATCGTTCAAGGGGACACTCTTTACAATAAACAAGGTAGTCTTTTTGAGGGTTCTTAACCATTGAAATACACTTGTCCAAAAACTCTTCCCTCACAAGACCGTCTGAATTGTAAGAGGACTCCCCGCCATTACGTCGAGCACAGTTGCATGATGAGGACAATGCCAAGCAGTCACCAACACACGAATGGCAACAATCTTGATCACCAATTTGAGCAAGAGAGAAAATCAGATCAGCATTGTGTGAGATGACATTTTGGGGAATATAGTGAAACAATGGTAAAGAATCACAATTTGACTTTTCTACTGAAACTTTAATTGCTTCTACGCCTCTTGAGATGTCACTTGTGACATCAAGAATTTCAAGAGAGGAGGGGATGAGCTGCTGCTGCTGAACAACCACCAAGCTATTAGAATCCTTTTCAGCACAATGATCATCAGTAGCTTCACAATTGGTAGCTGATGTTGGATTTGAAGCTTCAGGTTCTGCCATGTCAGTTGTGGCAGCCACATTATCAGACGATTCTGCATTTATGGCAGCCACAGTTCCATTGCTGTCAATGACCCCAGCATCCTGTTGACTAGACCCTTCTTGATTCACAGCATTAGCTTTTGTGCCCAGGTTCCCAGCACATTCACAAAACTCCTCCATAACTTTTATAACAGAAAATTCAGGATCCATGATTTTGTACTTTGTAAGACAATTATCATTAACTTTTTTCAAGACAACTTGTAAATCCAGAAAATAGAAATCATTCCCTTCTGGACCAGGGTTGCAGCTCAGAGATAACCTCACCTCTCCAAGAGATGAGGCTGCAATGTCTATGTTAGCTGAAGTTTTCTGAGAATCTTCAGCTTCCTGAATATGGTTCTCAGCATTTGGTGAAGCCAATGTTCCCAAACTTTTATCAATAATGCCCACAGATTTAGAGGCCCAGGATTCTTGACCATCTTGGCTGCAGACTGATTTACCAGAATTAGAAGGAACTTCTGGACGCGTAGATTCTGCCTGGCTCCCAGATGGATTAGTAGACTTTGAAGGAACCTCCTTGTGCGTGCTGCCTTTACAATAAAAGCATAAATGAATCATAATAAATCAGAATTCAAATAGAAGACCAAAAAAACAAAAACAAAAAAAAATAAATCTTTAATACAGGAAAAACAAAAAAACAAAACACCTGCTATCAGCACTATTGCATGGAAATCAAAATAAAGACCTAACTTAAGGTGCATTTTTATGTGTTACTGAACCAGATATGGCCATTCACGTGCATGCAATTTTCTTTACTTCCTCCGTTTATTTTTAGTTGCTACACTTTTATTTCACGGTCTCCTAGACATCTTTTTAAGAGGAGAGAGATAGAGAGAAAAATAAGAGGGACCCATGTGAGTAGGAGAGAGATAGAGAGAAAGAAATGTGAAAAATGGAAAGTGTTGCAACTAATTCACACTTTCCAAAATAGGAAAGTGTAGCAACTAAAAAGATACGGAGGAAGTATTTTAATTTTTATTTTATATTTTTGGAAGGGAGAAGAGGTTTCCATTAGCAGGTTCAGTTTGTTTCGGGCTAACCAATAGCCTTGATGATCGTTAAAAAAAAATATGTAATTAACTGCCTGGCCATGAGCATCTAAGTAATCTGTCATACAACCAATAATTTAATTTGATGATCTGATCATAAAGGAAAAATTGAGAAACCAAATAAACAAAAAGTATATGTCTTTTAATGTTAAGAGTGTTAGTAGAAGTCCATTATGATTATATAAGTTCGGCATTAAGCACAAAAGCAAAAAACCACTAAACTCCTTTAAAACATGTCTCCAAATAATTAGTAAGCATTATAATATCAGACATTGATAAATAATCAAGGACTGACCACAACATCTGCCTTCCCTATGATCTTGTAATACTTGTATAGTTGTATTAGCACTTTATATAGATAGATCCTATCCAAGAACATTTATTAAGACATAGAATACTAAAGCTTTGTATAACCCAAATCTATATCATTTTCAAAGTACCTCCTTCATTAGGTCATACCCTCTCTTCCAGATTACCTCCACCCATTATGTTGCCTAGCCCAGGCACTAGTTACATGAATTTTGCAATAGATCTAGGATCTCCAGAGAGAATTACACTATGGTTAAAAAAAATAAAATAAAAAAAAACTTTATATTCCACTCTCCGTTGTCAAGGACAAATCTTGACGATTATTCTCTATCATCATATGTGAGGAAAGAGGAGGGGCACATTTAACTATTTTTCAAGAGATGACTTAAATAATACTAAGTAGTATATTCATATTGTAAAATCTTTCAACAAGATTATGGATCGTGTAATAGACAAGCTACAACTCTCCAAGGAAGTATCTTTAGGAGACAAGTCTCAAATTCAAATAGTCTAATCTCATAACCTTCACCACTACTCTCTTCTTAATTTATATACAAGGAGGTACACAGCTAGCTGTTACTACTACTATTGTCCATAGTTATACTCTACCAATGCTGCTTTCCATGGTTCTACTACTTGCTGCTGTACTGCTTCCCTTCAGAGTTTTATTGTTTTTGTCTTCATCTGACAAGCCTTGATATCCTGTTTTCATCTTTTCTCTTGCAAAACTTGGTGACTGGCGGCTTTAAGCCTTGGGGCTGGTCCATTAAAGATCGCTATTAACATGTAATAGACTAATATTAGGAAGGACAATTTGGGAAGTCTAGTACTTTTAGGTTAGTAGTCCTTACTCCTTAGCCTTAGTATAAATAGGGGATAGTATATGCAGTAGGCATCATATGAATTGAGAGGGAAAATGTTGAGAGTAGTAACCTCAAGTTACTAGGAGAGTGATAACCTAAAGTTATCAAGAGAGTAGTAGCCTTAAGCTATTAATCTATCACTTTTGTACTCAAATTTCTGCCATTATTAATCAAGTATCAAGCTTTTATCTCTTAATTAGTCTTTAAATCAGAAAATATTAAGTCAGAAATTCAATCTATTACATAACATACTTCATCTAAAGTACCAAGAACTGAAGAGATCTTTTTTAAACAACAAGAGCCATATTGGTGCTGAAGGCAATATACAACTTAAGAAGATAACATTTTGTGTTCAACCTAAAAAGAAGAGACTGTAAATTCCAAATAACAACATAACTTGTGTGAGGTCCACTACTGTTGTACACATTAGGAGTTAAGGACGACTGCACAAGTAATTCCTGTATAGCTTCAAGGCATCAGAATAATAAGAGGCTACAGCTCACCCAATATTCACACTGGCAACTATGACATTCATATTGAAGTTTCTGTGCAAAGACCAGGACACAGGACAGGTGGGTGGGGAGGATGGTACAGCATAGCAACATTATGAATATGATATATGACATAGCAACATTATACATCCACCAAAAAAATGTACTTTTTATTAGAACATGCATAAATTCTTAAAGGTAGCAAGAGTAATTTAAACACTAAAAATTTCTAAATTCCCACTGCAAAATTAACCTAAGCCTTGAATGGTAGCAAACTTTCAGTGTACTGATAGGCCGAGATACATGAAAAGGAAGTAGCTATAGAGTATATATAATTGCAAAATACATGTAATCATTTACAAAAAAAAAAAAGTAAGCATAATAAATCAAGAGAATGCTATATACCTGGAGGCAATACAGCAAGCGGTGCAGGTGTTATCATGTCCTCAGTAAATGGCTCATCTTTGGGTTTTAATAAAATTGTACTAGGCTGTTTTTGCCTGGGATTAACGACTGGTTCAGCCCTTGGCTCTTTGATCTGGAGTGCTTGAGATGCCCGTTCAGGTGCAGTTCTTTTATCTCTCTGACTAACTTGAGGCGAAACAGGTTGTTTCCCCTTGTTTCGCGTAAACACAACAGGTTGAGGAGATCCTGTCAAAGGTTGGGTCCGCTGACCGGGAGAAATTTCTGACTCGCCAGGCTCCAGTTTAGGCGTCTTCAATGCACAAGCAGACGGGGGGCTATGTTGGCCATTAGAAGGTGCAGCTTGGCCTTGGTGTTTTAAGCGCAGCCTTTTCAATGGCCTCTCGGGCTCATCCTGCACCTCATCCTGCACTGGAGCTGCTTCCTCAAAAGCCTCCCCTTGCTAATCAAATATAGCAAAAGAATACACTTTCAAGAAATTTTCATACAAATAAGCCCCAAAAATAATACGTAAATGACAGCATAAGTAGCCTATTACATACATCAACATTTCCTGGTATCTTCTTTTTTTCTTTCTCTGCAGCCTGATACACCAACAAGATAAAAACACATTAAGCCATGCAAATTACTTAAATAAAGCTAGACCAGTTAAAGGAAATAACAAGATAGACACCTCTGAATCCTCATATTCGAAGATAGTATCTGCAAGGACTCTATAATTTTCTTCTTCAATCAGATCCCAATTCTTATCAAACAATTTTAGCAGCTTCTTCAGGGCAGGTTTTGTTTTTTCTTCTGGGATTCCAATATCTTTCATCGCTTTAAAAGCCGCCTTAACTTTTCCCGGCGCCATCTTCGATCACAGGCTCCTCAAACTACTGAATAGTAATTACATAAAGTCAAAAACCAAAGTAATCCTAACCAAATACGAACAAAATCGCAAAATTACATACTTTGCAACTTCTTAGCTTACAAGAAAAATAAAATATGGAAGTATTCATGCTTCATCAACAAAAATCGCCATAACAGCTGGATTGTTAAACGATGCAACATTTGAACAAGATTACATTCAATTTTATCTAAATTCTAAACCCAGATGAAACATGTCATTAATCAACCAATTTCATCTGCCCTAACATTTATAATAGCTTTCAAATTCCCAGGAAAAAACAATCAAGAAGCAAGCAACAATCATGCAACCAACGCACTTCAATATTTCAAGCTTACAAGACAGTCATTCTCTCCTTCGATCATATACTCCCTCCATCTGCCCAATAAACTTCCTGTATTCCTTTCTTAAATGTCCATTGTCGAATAAACCATAGTAAAGGTCAGATTTTGACCTTTACTATTTCTTGGAACATATTAACAAAATCGATAATTCAAAAATTTACAATTAAAAATTTACAATTATGAATAAATTCTCAAATATATGCATAACAAATTTCAATTCCGTTTAATGGTATACAAGATCATACCCTTCATAAATTATAAGTCAAAGTGACAAATAATTTGGGTAAAAAAGAACAATTAGGGTATAATTTAACCCCAAATGATGAACAAAAAAAATCCCCACGCCAAAATGTACTACATCTGTAAACATAAACCCACATCCCAGAAATTGCTGAAATTTAAAGGGTATTTTTCTAAACTCAAGAAACTGGAAAATATGAGATTAAAAAAACGAAAAAAGCTACCTTTTTTTTCCCTCGTAAATTTTCAATTTGGGAATTTCAGAACTCAGAGAAAGCCTGCAAAAATTTGTCAATATAATTAAACAGAAAATTCAAACAATTACCGTAAATTAGAACAGAAAATGACGAAACTTTCTCAAAAATTAATTTTTTTTTTTTAGAGCATGCAAGCAATTGAAACCATAAAACCCCAGAAATTAAACTCAAATGTCGGAGATTCGGCGCAACAAAAATGGAAGAAAATGGGTAAAACTTACGAGCATCTGGGGAGCAGTTGAAAAGATTTTGGAGGAAGACTAGAAGTAGTACAGTGAGAGTGTCAGTGAATAGAGAGAGGAAGGGTTTTTGGGTTTTGGGAAGAGAGAGAGTGAAGAAAGAGAGGGAAATTGAAAGTGTTAATGGGAAGTTGGGTCAATTGCCAAAAAAAAATTGGCAATTTGATTATTTTTGCAGTGTCAAAGCCAATTTGGAGTAGATGGAAATCATGAGATTACAAGTGTTTTACCTAACTCGGGTTATTCATAAAAAATTGTATTAAGAGATTGGTGGGTAAATATTAATTACTAATTATGAGTGTAATGTATAACCGAAAACATATTTAAAGAAATAAATTTTGGGGGCTTTAATTCAAAATGAGATTTGGGAAAAAAAATGGTGGGGTGACTAAAATTAAAGAGAGAGAAGGGAAAAAAGGATGAAAGGGAGAGGAGAGATACAGATAAAAGTGTTTAATGAAAGAGCTAAGAAAAATAGTGTAATAAAAAATTAAAAATATAAGAAGAAATATGGCACATTGGGTCTTTCGGTGCGGTCAGGGTCCGATCCTGGCTTAATCGTCCGTTTTTTGTTCTTGAAATTATAATTTCCGGTCCAGGTTGGTTTGGTTTGGTCCAGTTGAACAGCCCTAGATATAGATAGATATGAGAGATTTAGTAATCATAGTAATTAAAAAATTTCAAAACTTTTTTTTTAAAAAGAATACAGAGGAAGTACTTCACTAACAGATTTCAAACCGATTTAATACTAACTCATAAATTTTAAAACTTCTAATGAAAGTTCTATTAAGGTGATTGTTGATCGAATCTGTAGTGAAATTAGTTCTAAGGTGTTATGTAATTCTATTGAGATTTTAAAGGACTACCTTTCTGTTTTTTTTGTAAAAAAAAAAAAATAAAATAAAAAAAAATAAAAAAATATCAAAGCTTTTTTTCCTTTTCTTTTTTTAGTTCTTCTTATATGAATTTTACATCATGGTTTTATCCAATAATTAAGATATCTTCTATAGTTAGATCAGTTACATCCTTGATTTCTTGCCTTGCTATTCACTTTTATTTTTATCTCAGGACTTGGCTAATTGGCTTGAAAGGAGGCTGGGTTGCCCTTGTATTGATTTTCCCTTAAATACACTATTCTTATCTAACTCACTAGTCACTACTTATGTATGTGATCTTAATTTCACTTGTTTTCCTTTTATCTTAATTTTTGTAAAGATTATACAATCCATCTATATATATACTAAAAATAAACAACCGCTGATGTCATCATTGCCTACATGTCACTTATTTATTTAATTTTTTCCCTCCAAAATGCAAGGATGATTTCATTTTTTTTTTCCTTTTTAAGCTACCCTGTTTAACATAGCTTTGAAAATATATTTCATTTGAATTTTTAAATGTTAAATTTTGGTTTTTCTACACACATTATGCTATTTAGTTATTTACAAGTTGTTAACAATAGTTAATAATATAATCTAATTGAAATTTCTTAATTAAATATGAAAATTATGCACTTTCGGGAATTGTATATTCATATTTAGGCCCTGTTGTCTTCACCTTAAAAAAATAATATTAAGTAAAAATAATTTCAGTACAGTAAAAATAAGTTCAGTTCAGTAAAATTCAGTTTTCTTAAAGAAAAATTATAATAGAAAATCAGTAAAAATAATTTCAGTTTAGTAAAAATAATTTAAGTTCAATAAAAATAATTTCAGTTCAGTAAAATTAATTTCAGTTCAGCAAAATTAAGGTGAATCAAACAGGGCCTTAATTAGAAATTAGTAAGGGAAAATGAGGAAGTTGTTTTCTTTCAGCACGTGTTAAAAGTCTATAATTCAATTCCTATTTTAAAATCGTGCATCGCACAAGGTTAATCTAGTAATTTACTTTAAATACATCCATTAGTATAGTCTTATCAATCAATAATCATCAATCAATCAATAACGTAATACTAAAACGGAAATGACACATGTCACATTAGGGATTTATTAATCGAGTATGGTAACTATAAAATAAAAGTTGTGTTTGACAATTATATCAATTGTCTAATTCTAGGGAAAGGTATAATATCAATCAATGTTTTTGTAAATTACGTAATTAAACATATCAATATCTCAGCACAAAAAAAAAAAAAAAAAAAAAAAAAAAAACTATATGTTGCTGAGACATTTGATTGAGATGATAAATTTATACATCCTGACATTCATAAATAATATGCGTACTAACTACTAAAAGACACGCCGTACATATTAACAGTCGACATATCCTTATGTATATATATTATTTTATATTAAAATCTATTATACAAATAAAATTTAAAGACAATAATAAAAAAAAAAAAAAAAAATAAAATAAAAAGAATCAACTATAATTATTGAATAGCTTCAAACACATTTTTTTATAATAACAAAGAACGACAATATCATGTATGTAGAGCATCAATCCATAAACAGAAAATGTAATAATAGCCCAATTATCGATTGTTCTTGCCTTTAATGATCAGAGTAGTATTTATATAATTTCCATTGAAATGATTTTAATTTCTTAAATATACAAGGTGATATGGTATTTGTAATTAATATATCTATATGTATGTTGTGCACCTTTGCTATATTAGTTTTAGCGGAGATTTTAGTCTATTGTTTGATTAATTTTTTTGGTGTTTAGAGAGCCACAAAAGGCGAGTGATGAGAATCGATCTTAAAATCACATGAAATCGGGAGGGGGGCTCTAACCACTTGAGATATCCATCACTCTCTGTTTGATTAAATTTTGATGTTTATTAAAAGACATTTACAAATAAGTATTTACTAACCAAGTCTCGCCTAAAAAAATTCTCGAGTATGGACAGTCCTAAAAATCTATTTTTATTTATTAAAACTCCTAGACAAGGAATGGCATATTGCCTTCTGTAACTTTTTTTGTTTCATTTCGCCACATCACTTTTCTACTTATAAACTTGTCACATAAGCTATTATATGTTAGTAATATCTCCCAATTCAAAGTTTGTAACCGGTATTTATGACGGTCTTAATTATTGGTCTTGATTAAGAATTGAACAATTATATTATTACATTATTATTATTGAATTCCTTGAATTGAATTGGAGCAGTTTGTAAAGTAACCGATAATCAATTGTCTTTTTTTTTTTGACAAGGATAATCAATTGTCAATCAATTGGAATTCTACAAATGAATAATGAACGGGTGAGTAATTAATGAGTAATTGGTCAACAAATTCATCCCTATAAATAATAAAACCCAAAGTATAGTTGTTGGAAACAAGTTGTTTCGGGGTTTTCTGATGTCCTGCGGGAGAATTACAATTCCGAGACTGGAACCGGACGCCTGTACCTGCAAAACAAACGGATGCTCCGGATGATTGGAGATCCGCCTCCGACGGTCAAGTTAGTACTTGATTAAGGAGTAAGTAATGCGAAAATAAAAGTGATTGGGTCTCTCTTGGTGAGAGTGTTAAATGTGCGTAATCCCCCTTAATGAGGATTAAGGGAGGTATTTATAACTTCGGGAAACGTGCCAATCTAGGTTTAGGTTAACCTTGGGCTGATTGGGCTTCCCTCGGAAGTTGGGCCTAGGTGGCCGGCTTCTCCATTAGGCATGGAGTATGCCACGTGTCATGACATAATAGGTCTAGGGTGGACGAATAAGCGTGTGCCACGTGGCAAGCCCTGAGAGGTCCAGCTGGGGGACACTTGGCAGGACCTGATTAGCCCACGTGGCGCATTCCGATTGGTGGGAGCAAAATCCCCTAATCACAAGTCACTGACCCTCTTGGAACAGGATTTTTGGGTAATTTTTTTTTTCCTTATTTGTCTACAACCTTTTAAATAAATCTCGGATTTCCTGGTAATACCCGTATATTTATTAAATAATTATTTTGATAATTGTTTTTTTTAGTATAATTTTGTAAATGATAAAACATTGGTAACCCTATTTTATTTTAAGTAGAACTCTAATATTTAGAGGTAAACATAAACCCTAAAATATGCTATTTTTTATCAAATTCTTTACAGAGTATCGAGTGCAACCGTGAGCCAGATATATACCTTTTATTCTTCTTATTGATTGTTTGGGTTTATGCGTGAATCAAGCAAGCTGCACTTGATCTTTCCTTTCCACCTCATCATGAATTTATCCTCATGCATAATTAAAACTCCAAGTATCATTTATACATTCTCATGTCTATGGTAATATGTATATCTGTTCGTATTTTATATTGTTTCGTCCATCAATACACCATGTTTTGGCTTTTCGAAAGGTAATTACACGAAACTTTGGACATGTTTGATATTTCTTATTATTATGTGTGATATGATTTATTATTTTCACTCTATATTATTATTATGTGTAAACTTTGGAGTGTTGACTTCGGTCATTTTCACACTTGAGAACTTTGTGAGAGAACATTCGGACCCCTGAACTTGCTCTGACATTTTGGACCCTTTCTGCCTACCGCCTGCTCTGACAAGCCGACTGCAAAGTATTTTCAGAACTTCATCAATCGTCACTCGTTCAGGTAACCGTCGGTTCTCTTACTCTTTACTTTATTCTTTTTTTTTGAAATGGCACCACGGAAGCACACGACACGACCTAGGTTAGCGATCAGCCGGTCACCGGGGACGGCTGAATCTAGGACTAGGAGTGCCGCCTGCCCTTTTCTGGACCCATCTTTGCCCTTTATACAAAGTCCGACTGTATCTGTGTCTATGCAGAACATGATGGCCAGGACAAAAAAGACTGCTAGGATCTCGAACTCAGACGGCTCCTCCCACAGGGTGCCGATTAGTGAAACATCTGACCAGGCGCCAGATGTGGAAGTGAAACAAAGCAGCTTGAAAGCCGGCAGTTCTGAGGGAGGAGTCAAAGTGACCCCTTCCCATTTTACAGTTGACAATTCTACATTCTCTCCTGCTCCTTTTAAAGGAGAGGAGGCGGGCCCCTCTGGGAGAGGGGAGGAGTCGTCCTCTTCGGACTCGTCAGAGGACGAATCTGAGTCTAGCTCTTCTGGCCATGCTTCTCTGGACACAGAAGAGAAAAACAGTCGCCTACAAGAGGCGAGGCTTTCTCACGCAGTTGAGAAGGGGGACAGTTGGGCGGAGCCATCCGCCTCTCACCGAGAGCAAAATACCCCATACTACTGCACGGTACCTCAGGGCCGGATCACG